CACCAGGGAAGCCCCCGGTACCCAAAAAAAAAAAAAAAAAAAAAAACCACTGACACAGAGTGCAGGGAGAGGCCACCCCAAGCCAAGACCCTGTGGGCCTGCCCTCTGTCCCTCCCGCTCCGCCACTCTAGCCACGGCCCCAGGGGACAGCCCTCTGCAGGCCCCAGGTCAGCCATACCGGTTTTTAAGGTCCCTTCTAACACTGTCCCTCTGTGGCTCAAGTACCCTGCTTCTGCCTTGGTGGTCCTGTCTCTGGGCCCCTCGGGGCTGGGAAAGGGCTTGGTTAGATGCAGACTCTGTGGAAGCGAAAAGTTCTCCCGAACACGCCCCCAGGGCCCTGGTACCCTGAGCCTAGCCCCCGCATTCCCACCCATCCCTGCCCTGTTTCCCTGAGGGCCACCAAGTTCCCTCCTGCTCCTGTGTGTGGGGTCTCAGGTTGGCCTACGTCTTTTCATCAGACTGGCCAGTGAAGGTGATTGCTGAGGTCCCAGCTCTTTCACTGCCTGCCTGGATGATCTGGCTGGAGGTGGGGTTTGTGCCCTGACAGCCCCCTTTCCACCAGGGCCCACCCCACCCCTGTCCCCCGCTCACCTGTCCCCAGATCGTTCGTACCTGATGGTGTTGTCGGCATCACAGGGGCAGGGCAAGCTGCAGCCTGGGCCATGCAGGCCCTCGGGGCACAGCCGCTCCTGGCAGCGTGGGCCTTTGTAGCCAGGTTCACACTTGCAGGCACCGGTGGTGGGTGAACACTGACCCCCGTTGTGGCAGTCACAGCGCAGGGAACACTGGAAGCCAAAGGTCCCGAAGGGGCATTCCTCTTGGCACCTGCGGGATAGCAGAGGAGGGTGAGGCTATGCCCCCTCACCTGCCCTTCCAGATCCACCCAGCATGTACCACCCCTGCCTCCAGGCCTAGGCCTGGGCCTGGTGTGCTGCACCTCCTCACAGCCTCCTCCCCTCTTTCCTCTCCTCCTCCAGGAAGTATTCCGTGGTTTAGTCACCCCACTCCATTCCCTCCTCCATGCCAGTTCCCCTCAGTCCCCAGGACTGAGTTCATACTATCATATTTCATTGATTATACACCTTATGTGTTTTTTTTTTCATTTTTTGATTGCAGTAAAATAAGTATAACATAAATTTACCATTTTAATTATTTTTAAGTGTACAGTACAGTGGCATTAAGTACATTTATATTGTTGTGCACCCATCACCACCGTCCATCTCTAGAACCTTTTCATCTTTCCAAACTGAAACTTCTGTACCCAGTAAACAACAAACCTTGTTTTAAAAATATATTCTAACATCTCTGAAACCAGTTAAGTCTTATAACTGATGGCATATCATAGTTTAATTTTCAGTGTTTTTCATTCTTAGCAATATATAAACTAATGATGCATCTCACAATCGGTGGCATCTCAGATTTGATGAAATAGGGTAATTTTATTTCTACTCATTGTCTCTGTTCTTTGAGTCTTTCAGACAGATGTACAGTCTCTCTTTGCCATATGGGAGACGACCCTCTTCCACCAGTGTCAAGTTTCCCCACGAGTACAAGATGCATCCTCCTTTATCAGACTGGAGAATCCCCCAAGACAGGGACTATTTCCTCTTCCTTGGACGGGGGGTTCCCTCAAGGCAGGGGCTGAGCCTCTTCCATCAGCCGGTGAGCCCCCCAAAGAAGAGGACCTGGCCCCCTTTGCGACCTGCCTCTGCTGGGGCCTGGTACTTGGAACTCCCAGCATAATGATAATTATTTGACTCATCAACTGACATCCATTGGTTGTGGGTCCTCTGTGGGTGGGTGTAACCTCCACTGCTGACTGCCTAGCTTCCTGGATGTGCCCAACACCCCTCACCCCAGCCCAGGGATATTCCCCAGGGGATGTAAATTCATCGTCACAGCAATAAATTAAGGGGTCAACCTGGGGGCATATGGGGTAAAAGAGATGGGCAACCCCTGCGTCCCAGAGACAGACAAACAGCAATGGCCTACGGACTCTGGGGTTTTGGATTAACCGCATCCCCACGCTGCTTCAAAGGTGCAGAGGATGGGGAACTGACTTTACAGCTCTGACATCTGCTTCCTCATCACAAAAATGGGAGGATAATAACTAAACCTCACCAGGTGTTTGAGGATTAAATGAGGCAACGTGTATAAACACTTAGAAAGGTGCCCCATGCGTGGTAAGGGCTCAGTAAGAAGTGTTAGTTCTTATTATTACTCTTGTTAATACTGTTTTCTATAGTTCTCCTAACAGAGCCCTTCTGGCATGAGAAAGCTCAAAGGGAAGAATTCCAAACGTTAACATTGGAGTGGACTTGAGGAATTACAAGTCGTTTAATGATTATGTCTTCCCATTTTCAGGTTTTCTATGTATGTTCTACAATAATCAGGGCAGAGGGTAACAATACAAGATGTTTAAAAAAATACTGCCTTGGGCTGCCCTGGTGGCGCAGTGGTTGAGAGTCCGCCTGCCGATGCAGGCGACACGGGTTCGTGCCCCGGTCTGGGAAGATCCCACATGCCGCGGAGCGGCTGGGCCCGTGAGCCATGGCCGCTGAGCCTGCGCGTCCGGAGCCTGTGCTCCACAACGGGAGAGGCCACAACAGTGAGCGGCCCGTGAAAAAAAAAAAAAAAAAAAAAAAAAATACAGCCTTAGCGTCTTTATTAACTCTTGGTGAGTCCTGAGTTGGAAGCAGTGTTTTCCACCACACACCCAGATCGTCTTCCTACAAATCTTGCTGCATTTTAGTCAGTTTGAGGCCTCAGCAAGGGAAAGAACAGAAAAGAGAGGGAGGAAGAGGAAAGAGAGAAGGGGATAGAGAGAGAAGGAATGGGAGGTGGAAGACAGCAAGGAGGAGAGAGTAGGATGGAGGAGGTGAGGAGGGAAGCCAAGGCGGAAGGGGAGGACACAGCGCGGTGAAGAGCTGTACAACTGCCGCCTGGATTGCCAGCCCCTGTTTGCCTCAGAATGGATTTCCCCAGAGGTCACTCAGGTTGCCTCTCCTGGATGTCTCAGACACCAGGGGAAGAAACCCCAGCCTGGAGACGCCTCTGGATTCCTCCTTTTCACTGGAACATTCCTTCTCTCTCCCATCCAGCAGGACTGGGTACAGCCCTGGACAGTGAGCTCCCTTCTCTGAAGGGCACGTCCTGCCCCATCATATTTACAAAGGGACTGAGTCCACAGCCCCGGAAAAAGAAGCTAGAAATGAAATATTGACAACCTAATCCATTTACATAATCAGCCTCTTTTTTTTTTTTTCCTACCCACAAGTTAAACAACTTATTTATTTAGAGATCAAGCAACGACTGCTAATGAATTTTACACAAAGCACGCTAATAATGGGGCCTGTGGAACAGAAGGGTAATCACAGCAGGATTTAGTTTTCTCCTTAAACATCCTTCCTTTGCAACCTATCAAGCTTATGTGTCCGATACTGCCATTAACAACCAGATACATTGCTCAATTAAATTACAAAATGAGCTGCAAAACCCTCATTATGTTTCATGTTTAATTTCACTGGATTCTGCCTATCCGGGGAGGCCTGCATTATCATACCCTCTCAACTTTAATATGCTTGCAGTGCTGTGGGCTGGGTTCCTGCAGCTGTCACCTACAAAATAAATGGAGGCAATTTTACAAAATATTAAACACCAGGCAGCCCGTTTAGGTGGGAAACCCAAATGCTACCGGGCCCTTCTAGGAATTCTTCTGTAGATGGCTGACGAAGCTTGCCTGAAGACCCCGAGGCTTTTGGGGTTTCTCTCTGCCTCAGGATCATGGGCTGGACCCCAACAAGAGGGACTAGGGGTATTTCTCCATTTGGTACATCTTGGCACCAATGAGGCTGGATCCGCTGGTGCTGAGTCCAGTCAGCTGGAACCTTGGGCCCGCTTGTCTCCAACAATGAATGGGTTGTATTCGCTCTCCTGTGAAGTGTCCAGAAACAAAGGCTCCTGTTCCTGCTGGCTCATCCCAAATGTCTACTTATCCAGGGAGATGGTGAGGATGGGAAGGTGGCTCAGTGCTTTAGTCCTGCCTCCCTTCTCCACCTAGAGATGCAGTCTCCAACAGAGGTCAGAGAGGGATGGATCCCCAGATGCCACACCCCGCATTCTGTGCCAGGGATGCTCACGGAGATGAACACTGCCTCACAAAGAGATCAGATCTGGCTTAAAAGACTTCAGGCTGGGGGTATGCAAGCCTAAAGCTAAAAACGGAAAATCTCTTTTCTGGACCACTGAGGACTTGGGGCTGACTCCAGTGAGAGCTGGAGGGGCGCAATTATGTTGGTCAGAGCCAGAAGGAGTCATTGGTTAATTCAGGCCTGCTTCCTGCTTCCTGCTGTTACCTGGGCAGGGGAAGCAGAGTAACAAAATCCAGGGCCAGAGGTGAAGCATGGATCCCACAGAAGCAGGCAAGGGTGTGACAGCCTCCTCTCTACTGCCCGTCTCTCCGCTCAAAGAGACACACGTGGTTCAGAGTGAGAGGGAGGGGACTCGTCCTGGTTCTCTGGACAAACGTCCTCCGCCAGCTCTGAATCCACTCACCGTCAGACACCTTGACTGCCGTTTCTGCTCCTTCTAGAGCGCCTGCCCTATCATCGTGGAATCTTTCTTACCATGGCAAGTGTGTACGTCTGGTAGTCCCTCCGTTATATGTTTTGTGGGTCATCCACTAAGGCTGCAAGGCTGGTTTAATACCAGGACATTGGTGCCCTTGTTCAGTCTGCTCTCAGGCCACAGGCCTTCAGAGGATGCAAATTGACGTCAGTATCCTTTTGGCAGAACTCACGTCAGGAATAAAAATCCACTTCTAAAAGCAACTGTGCAAAATGTGTGAACTGAGTTTGCACGCTCAGCTTCCTTGGCTTATCGGTGCCACTGCCTCTCTCCAGGAGGGCAGCAAGTAGAGAGTGGTGGTAGGTGCCCACCCCCTTCCCCAGGTGAGTCAATGCAAGTTCAGGGCTTGGGTCACTGGGCTGGGGGTGGGGGTGGGTACCCTCAGCAGGCTGAGGGCCAGGAAGGATGGGTTGGCAGAAGGACTCAGAATGCTTTTTGAGAAAGGAACAGGAAAGCTGGCAGAAGGTAGCCATGGACCGCTAAACCTGAGCTGTTCTCTCCAAGGCTGCTGTGAAAATGAGTATTATGCACATCAAGGACGAGAGTTAACAGCTTCCTTACCTGTCCCCCATGTATCCGGCTGTGCAGTGGCACTGCCCAGTCACGTGGTCACACTGCCCTCCATGGTGGCAAGGACAGTCCTGGCTGCAATTCTGGCCGAATGTCCCTGGTGGGCAGGGCTGGGCGCACACTGCTCCCTGCAACACAGGAGGGAAGACATGCAGAGGTGGTGCTGCTGAGATGCAATCCTGAGGCCACCTTCTTCTAGAATTAGCACAGTTGCTGCAGCCCAAGGGACCACGCCATTCCCTCAGTGGGACCCTCTCCCCAGTCACAGAAGCATAGAAAGCGGGACACCATGGCTTCAAGCTAGAGATGGGCCGACTGAGGCCAATGGGCTCAGCTAATTATTCAGCACACACTTACTGAGTGCCTGTTGTATACCAGGTCCTGTGTTAGACACTAGGGATACGAAAATATGAGTAAGACTCAATTTCTCTCCTCCCAGTATACTAGGGAGAGAGACAAGAAAGCAGGTAACTAGCGCACGGTGCTAGGTGCCCTCACACCGATAGACAATAAAGTGCTGAGGAAAAACAAAGCAGCGGTGTGATTAAACATGGTGGTCTGGAAACACGCATTTATCTCTACATCTTTCCCAAACCCAGCTAAGAGGAGAGTAAAGGGAGGGGGGGGGAACGTGCAGACCTACAAGGAGAAAAGGAAGGGGAGAGGGGACCGTAGAGGACAAGAGGTGTCACGTGGTGGAAGATGGACCGGCAGATAGAGGAGCAGAAACTGCTGGGGTTTCTGCTTTCTCAGCAATGCCAAGTGCCTGCAGAGCACGCGTTGCAAGACAAAGCTCAGAAGAGCTCAGGAATCAGAGACACCAGGGGCCTCTGAAGGCCAAGGTGCACGTGTGGGGAAATAGGGGGACGGTCTGAAAGTTTATAAAAGAGGGAATTAGACCCCAGATTTTTACTCCCATTTCAAATAGCCAAGTGACTTCCCAAGACTGACAGTTTACTTTTAGGGATCTGTATAAGGCTTCAGACACAGGGACACCAAGCACAGCTAAGGGGAGTGGGGCAACAGAAATGGAGATCTCCTGAGACCTGACTGCTGAACAGACCCTCTGCTCTCTTCCCCTGCTCAGCTCCTACGATGCTAGTGACCAGACTCTACTCCCTCTGTCAGGGTTCTGGCGGATTCCTTTCCGGGGAGACTGAGAAGAAAGGCCTATAAGTAATGATATTTGAGAGTTCCATCAGTCAACAAGCCTGGCATCTCCCCCTGCCCCCTAGGATTCCAACCAGCTTTTCCAAGGATCATGGTAAAACATGAACAGGAAGCCAGGGATCACCAGATATTTGAAACGAGGCTCTAGCAAGTTGGGAGATGGCAGTAAAGCACATTACGTAGAAATATGGAGGGAAATGCCAGAAGAAACACCTAAAAGATTTGAAGCTGGTACCTTTCAGGGGACGGACTTGTGGCAGGTCTGGGGGGTGCAGAGGACTACTTCCCCCTCCCTCCAGTAGAAGCCTTGTGGTATTAGATACTGTGTATAATTTTTAAATTATACATGTGACTCTTAGATCTTTATCAGACAGAAATCTAAACTTACTCTTGTCTCCTGCTGCCCTTCCAGCCTCTCCCATACCAGAGACGGTCCTTTTTCTTATGGAGATCAAGGATTCTCCCACAATTAATTAATCAATTAGTTCAACACACAATTATTAAGCACCAATAACTGCCAACCCCGAGGAAGCTAGTTTAGGCAGGAAAATCCTGCTGACCCGGGTCATCTATCAATATCACCCAATCTACTTGTAATGAATTAAGTGGGAGGCCTTTTCGCTCAGATGTCTCCTCTACACTTAATAAGTCAGACAGTGCGGGGCGGGGCTGGGCGGGGCAGGGACGGGGGACTGAGCAGCAGAGGCAGCAGCCCTGGGCGGTGGGATGAGTGTGTATGTGAGGAGAGGGGCAGGGAAAAGCTACTGAGACGAGGGCATCCGTCTTCTTCCTGGAGGTGGTGGGGTTTACCTGGGCTTTGCCTTTCTCACTGTACCCCACAAGCTCCAGGGATTCTTGAGGGAAGAGATGAGTCTTTCTGGCCACCATCTGAGCCAGTCTTCTGCGGTCCTGGACAAGGACATTCTGACCCTGAAAAAACATTCTGAGCCATCCTGGGGGCTGTGCTTATACCTCCTACCTCTCCATCACGGAGCACTGTGGGGTACCCTGTACCTACACACACACACACACACACAGACGCCCATATACACCATCCACCCTGTTAGAATGCAAACTCCCTTTCTCTTCAGAGTTTCTGAGACATGACCAGGGCCCCCTAAAGAGGCCAATAGGAAAGCTTGCTTCCTTTCAACACTTCCTGGGGAAATCAAACATCCTTGAGACTTTTTTGGATAGGAGGGCGAGCACTTCTTTGAGCCTCTGCTCAGTATTCCCCAAATGCAGCACCCCAGGTCCCTGTAACCCTAAACCCCTCCTCAGGCTCGAGCTCCTGGGGCCTGAAGCAATCTGTTACCTTGGAAGGACTGCTGCCTGGTGCGGTGGGAAGAACGGTAGACTCAAAGTCAGGACTTGGGCTCAACCCCTAGTTCTACCTCCTTCCAGATGGCTGAGCGAGGACAAGTCACGTGATCGTTCTGAGCCTCGGTTTCCTCATCTAGAAAATGTGAGTGGGAACCCCCAGTCTCCCAGGTGGTTGTTAAGATTCAGTGGGATTAGAGATGTGAAGGAAGCTTCATCAGTATTAGAGATGAGCAGGCCCTTCACTAATATTAGTTCAACCCAAGCAGACACCAGACGTACAGGTGGTGGGAGCCCAGTATCACCTGGGACAGAGAAGCATGGGGGAGAACCACATAATTAATTGGTTACTGCTGGTTGGAAGAACAGCTTTTTGGGGAGAGGTAGGGGGAGAGGACAGGCAGGAAAGTATCAGCTTGAGAGGGCTGTGGTCTTATGGTTTCTTTCCTGCTACTATGAGCTGAATTGTGTGTCCCTCTAGATTCATATATCCTAACCCCTGGCAACTTACAATGTGGCTTGAGAGAGGCAATAAAGTTAAAATGAGGTCATTAGGGTGGGCCCTAATCCAATATGACCCATGTCCTCATTGGGAGAGGAGATTAGGACACACACAGGTGCAGAGGGAGGGCCATGTGGAGATGCAGGGAGAAGACAGCAATCTACAAGCCAGGGACTGAAGCCTCAGAAGAAACCAACCCTGCCAACACCTTGGTCTCAGACTTCTGGCCTCTAAAACTGTGAGAAAACAAATTTCTGTTGTTTAAGCCACCCAGTCTGTGTTACTTTGTTGTGACAGCCCTAACACACCTGCCCTACAGTCACCTGAAAGCGTATCTCCAAGTGCAGTGGGATCTCAGGCTGTGTGGCATCTAGAAGGTTAGAGATGAGGTGAGACAACAGTCCTGCTCCTCTCGGGACTGGTTGGATCAAATGGTTCTGTCAAAATCTGGAAACCAGCTGCACTTAAAGAGGACCATGGCTAAATGGAGCATAAAAAAGGAGGGGGCCGGGCTTCCCTGGTGGCCCAGTGGTTGAGAGTCTGCCTGCCGATGCAGGGGACACGGGTTCGTGCCCCGGTCCGGGAAGATCCCACATGCCTCGGAGCGGCTGGGCCCGTGAGCCATGGCTGCTAAGCCTGCGCGTCCGGAGCCTGCGCTCCGCAACGGGAGAGGCCACAACAGTGAGAGGCCCGCGCACCGCAAAACAAACAAACAAACAAACAAACAAACAAAAAACCCAATCCAATCGAAAAATGGGCAGAGGACCTAAACAGACATTTCTCCAAAGATGGCCAATAGGCACGTGAAAAGATGATCATCATTGCTAATTATTAGAGAAATGCAAATCAAAACTACAATGAGGGATCACCCCACACTGGTCAGGATGGCCATCATTAAAAAGTCTACAAATAGGGCTTCCCTGGTGGCGTAGTGGTTGAGAGTCCGCCTGCCAATGCAGGGGACACGGGTTCGCGCCCCGGTCTGCGAAGATCCCACATGCCGCAGAGCGGCTGGGCCCGTGAGCCATGGCCGCTGAGCCCGCGCGTCCGGAGCCTGCGCTCCGCAACGGGAGAGGCCACAACAGTGAGAGGCCCGCGTACCGCAGAAAAACAAAAACAAAAACAAAAAACTCTGGCAAATCTCTGCCTGCCTCAATAGGCCCTGCAGCCATCCCTCCTGCTGTCCACCCCTCCACACACACACCATGACCTTGTCGTTCACAGCCTCTGGAAAGATCCCACTCCTGCACAGCAGCCCTGTCCTTCCTGGCTTTGCAAAGCCTCAGGCTCCAGGGGAGGCAGCCGGCTACGTCACTGAGCTTCCCCTGAAACGGGAAAGTCAGCCTCCATGACTCACTGCTTCTGAGGGGCTTGGGACTGTGGAGAGTGGGGACACTGACAGGGGGAGCATACTGGCTAAAAGGAGGCTGTGGCTTCTCTGTGGCATCCAGGGACATACAAAAAGCAACTGTAGAGAACTCCAGAGCTTGCAAGGCACATTGGATGGGCACTGCCTCATCTGAGCCTTCTGCCAACCATGCTGCTATGAAGGGCAGGGCTGTTTTTTTTTTTTTTAATTTTTAATTTTTTAAATTTTTTGGCCACACCGCGCTGCATGTGGGATCTTAGTTCCCTGACCAGGGATCAAACCCGCGTCCCCTGCATTGGAAGCATGAAGTCTTAACCACTGGACCTCCAGGGAAGTCCCAGGGCTGACGGTTTTCATGCCAGCTTTGCAGACAGGGAAGCAGAGGCTAGAATAGCCGAGGGCTTTTTTCAGGGTCAACATTGGATATGAGGCCTGATGTGATGTGATAAATCTCATCCCCCTTTCCCACAATGGTGGTTCCCGGACAAGAGACCTGGATTGGTTGAGGCTGCATCAGAATCACCTGGAGCACTTGTTAAAATACAGATTCCGGGGCCCACAGAATCAGAATATGTGTATGTGTGTGAGTACAGAGGTTGGAGGCTGGGAATCTGAAGTTCTATAAATGAAGCTGATTCATACCCTGCTCTCTCCCTTCCCCTGCACCACCCCAATCTTTATACCGTGCCCTTTTCACCACATTTCAGAGCCCGGAGCAGCTCAAGTGAGTCCCTATGCTGAAAGACAGAGACAATTCATGAGAATAATTCAACTCCTTTGCACATGAGGGACCACAGGCTCAGAGAGGTTAAGTAACTTGCTTCAGGTCACACAGCACTTAGATGGGAGCCCTGGGATTCAAAGCTGTGTCCATGACACAACTGGCAGTGTCTAATGATGCCCATGACCATGAAGAGGAGGCAGGGTATTCAGGGTGCGAGAGGAATTTAGCCCTCCAGGGTACATGTGAGGGATGCTCAGACCTCTTACAGGGCCCCACCCAGATCCTGCAGGTCCACCTACCATCCAGCCTGGGGGGCAGGCACACTCGCCAGTGATGTGGTGGCAGGTACCCCCATTCTGGCAGGGGCAGCGCAGCTCACAGTGAGCCCCGTGGCTCCCAGGTGGGCAGAGCTCCTCGCAGCTGCGTGGGGAAGCAGAGGCGTTAGAGGCAGCTGCATGCAGATCAGGTCACAGGGCCCTAGTGCTTGCAGTCCCAAGGCTCCCGGGCTCCCTAGAAGTTAGTGAGTTCACAGTCAGTGTGAACTATACTAGACACAAGGCCAGGAGAGGGAAAACAGGGCTCAGATACAATGGACTGGAAGGTTGTGTGCTTGGACCAGTACCTGGAGGATGACGTAAGCGCTTTTAGGGTAAAGAAGAGGGCTCTACTGGGAGGGAAAGCTGAGGAAGGCTTCCCTAGGAGGGAGACATTTCACTTGAGTCTTGGAGGTGAAGTTAATTTCACTGGGAGAAGGGGAGGAAGGGCATGCCAGGCAGAAGGAACAGGACAAGCAAAGGCCATGAGACGTAGCCATGACTCCAGTCTTCATATTCTGCCTAAGTTCAGAGAGAGGGAGCATCTGGGGCATGCCTCCACCCTCTTCCAGGCTTTCAGCTACCACAACAGGCTTCTATTCAGGGACTATCACTGCTGAGATGCAGGGAAAGATTTGCCTGGGGTCTTGGTCTTGGGCCTTAGCCCAATGTTTGGCCCCTGGAGCTGTGGCCGGACACTGGGGCAGGGGACACACAACATCCATCAAAGATGTACCTGCAGCCAGAGTCCTTGGGTGTCCCCCTCAGGATCTAGGGCTGCTGGGAGGCCACTGAGCCTTTGACAGGGTGGAGAACTTCCACCTTGCCTCTGAAGGGGCCTCAACTAAGCAGTCTTGGGGGCTCCTGTCCATGCAGCCTCCGCCTCCAGGGGACTGGAGTGAGGGGCTGCTTGGGGTCTGAGGGGAGAAGGTCAGGGAAGAGGAACAGGGGCAGTAAACTCCCCGAATCTGTGCATGGTATCTGCCCAGGGCCCTCACCCCACTCTGCCTCAAATGGCCTGGAAGGGTCAACAACGGCATTTGGGTTACGATCAGAATTCCAAACTGAGGTCTGGGGCCTGGACCAGGGAGGGCCTCCTGGGAGGAGGTTAGCCAGCTCCTCTGGCCATGAGAGCCTCCATCAGAATGTGCCCTCCCAGCTCGCACCAGTCCCCCTGGGGCCTGGACAACAGGGATCTGAGGGTGTGGGCGAGGCCCGGGCGTTCAGCCTCTGCAGGACTTGGGGTCGGAGCGCAGGAGATTTTACAGCCAGGACTATCTTGACCCTCCAAGTGTTTCCCGATCCTGCTCTCCCAGCCGCCCCGGGCTTTACTCACTAGACACCAGTATAGCCGGGCGAGCAGAGGCACTCGCCGGTGCGGGGATCGCAGCTGGTGCTGTGGCGACACTGGCACGGCAGCTGGCAGCCCTTGCCGTGGGTGCCAGGTGCGCAGAGCTCCTCGCAGCGCCAGCCTCGGAAGCCGGCAGCACACACGCAAGCGCCGGTGATGGGGTTGCACAGGGCTCCGTTTTGGCACTGGCACCGGTTGCTGCAATGGGGGCCCCAGTGGTCGCTGTCGCAGCCTGCAAGAGAGGAGCGGGTCAGGGCAGAGGGATCCCCGTGGACTGTGCTTGGGATGGGGGCTGGAAACAGCCTTCCCATCTCTGCATTGCTCTTCCCTGGATAGGAGGCGGCAAGGGGTTTCTGGATGGAAGTTTTGGCGCTTCATAGCTCCATCAGCTCCTTGCCAACCCCCACTCCACCCCCAAATAATCATCCAAGCTCAGAAGCTTCTTTCTTCAATGCGTCTCCCAGTCAGGGTCATTCCATTCCAACCACGCCTCTCCAGAGCCCCCTCTCCGGTACTGAAAGTCTGGAACCACAGGTTATTTTACCTTTGCCGAAACTCTTCTTGGTTGGCTCTCTCTTCCTCTCAGCCAGGCCCTGTCTCTTCCAGGGTGCCTCCCCTCTTCTCCGTGACCCTCCTCCCCTTCTTGGTGCCTCCCCAGCCCAGCTCCCATCTCTCTCTCTCTCCATCTCTTCCTGAAACATTAGTTCTTCTCACCTCTTGCATCTCACTCTCTGTGAACAAGTCTTCTAACGCCCTGCCCCTCCCCCGGCTCCATCTCCCTGTCACCGCCTCCACCCCCATCTCTCTTTCTTCCTGCGTCTCCCTAGCAGTAATGCCTACACCTCCTGGCTCCTTCATCCTCAGTTCAATTTCATTATTTTCCAAGCAGCCAACTTCAGAAGGAGCAGGAAAAAAGAAATATTTCCCTGGGAGGTGACAGACAGCCTTGAAGATCTTTATATGTAATTAAATGTTTCAAAGAGTGATATCTGAGCCAGCTTTGTAGCAATTCACACTCTGCGGCGGGGTTGGGGGGGAAAGGGGCTGAATGGCAGTCCTCAGGTAGGTCACCCAGCCTGCTGCCACTTCCTAGTCTGACCCTCGCTTGATGCATACAAGACACACAACAGCAAGACATCCTTCAACTATAGCCTCATTCACTCAAATCCTGGAGTAGAGGTGCGTGTGGAGTTCAGGCAAGGACAGGCATAAATAATGTACTAGGAGATGTTCCATGGAGAAAAAGACTGCTCCCAGCTAAGGAAGCAGGCAACATTTCCTGGAAGAGAAGCCATCTGAAGTGGGCTGTAAAAGATGTCTCCCTTGTCTGACAATCAGAGTGACTAACTGTCCCAGTTTCACCATTGAAAGTCCCTCATTCTGAGAAATCCCAGATGGAAGAATCACTCTAGCAGCCCCACCAGCCCTCCTGCATATACTTCCCACTTGCTGACCAGGGTCAATTGGTCAAAGTCATGGAAACTGTCCATTACTTTTAGTAGATGGAACCACACTAGGCCTGGAATCCCAATCACCCTATCTTGCTTCATCCCTTCTTCATGGTGCCCCAAATATACACACATACAAACCAAGCTGCCAAGTTCTGCGCAAGACTCACCCTGCATTTTCTACCTGGCACTACAGTAAGTGAGTCAAAAACCAAGTCCAATAGCCAAAACAATTTTGAGAAAGATGAACAAAGCTGGGGGCATCACACTTTCTGATTTTAAATTATATTACAAAGCTATAGTAATTCAAACAGTATGATATTGGCATAAAAACAGACACATGGATCAACGGAACAGAATACAGAGTCCAGAAAGAAACCCATGCGTATACAGTCAACTAATTTATGACAAAGGAGCCAAGAATATACAATGGGGAAAGGACAGTTTCTTCAATAAATGGTGTTGGGAAAACTGGACAGCCACATGCAAAAGAATGAAACTGGACCCCTATTTTACACCATATGTAAAAATCAACTCAAAATGGATTAAAGCCTTGAATGTAGGACCAGAACCAAAAACTCCTAGAAGAAAACATAGGTAGTAAGCTCCCTGATATTGGTCTTGGCAATGATTTTTTGGATTTGACACTAAAAGCAAAGGCAAGTGAAGCAAAATCAACAAGTGGAACTACATGAAACTAAAAAGCTTCTGCACAGCAAAGGAAACGATCAACAAAATGAAAAGGCAACCTACCAAATGGGACAAAATATTTGCAAATCACATATACAACGAAATAGCAAACAAACAAACAGTCTGATTAAAAAATGGGTAGAGAATCTGAATAGATATTTTTACAAAGAAGACATACAGATGACCAACACGTACTTGAAAAGATGCTCATAACCATCAGGGAAATGCAAATCAAAATCACACTGAGGGGACTTCCCTGGTGGTGCAGTGGTTAAGAATCTGCCTGCCAATGCAGGGGACATGGGTTTGAGCCCTGGTCCAGGAAGATCCCACATGCTGCGAAGCGACAAAGCCCGTGCGCCACAACCACTGAGCCTGCACTCTAGAGCCCTCGAGCCACAACCACTGAAGCCTGTGTGCCTAGAGCCCGTGCTCCACAACAAGAGAAGCCACCACAATGAGAAGCCCACGCACTGCAATGAAGAGTAGCCCCCACTTGCTGCAACTAGAGAAAGACCGTGCGCAGCAACGAAGACCCAACGCAGCCAAAATAAATAAATAAATAATTTATTTATTAAAAAAAAAGAATGCATAGATTAAAAAAAAAATCCACACTGAGATGTCACCTCAAACCTGATAGACTGGCTATTATCTAAAAGACAAGAAATAACAAGTGTTGACAAGGATGTGGAGAAAGAGAAACCCTTGTGCATTGTTGGTGGGAATTTAAGTTGGTGCAGCCAGTATGAAAAACAGTATGGAGGTTCCTCAAAAACTTAAAAATAGAACTACTGTAAAATCCAGCAATTCTACTCCTGGGTATTTATCTGAAAGAAATGAAAACATTAACTTGAAAAGATATCTGCACCCCCATGTTCACTGCAGCATTATTTACACTAGCCAAAACACAGAAGCAACCTAAACGTTCATCAGTGGATGAATACACACACACATACACACACACACACACACACACACACACACACACAATGGAATATATTTTTTTATAATTTTATTTACTTATTTATTTATGGCTGTGTTGGGTCTTCGTTGCTGCGCGCAAGCTTTCTCTAGTTGCAGCTAGTGGGGGCTACTCTTTGTTGTGGTGCATGGGCTTCTCACTGCGATGGCTTCTCCTGTTGTGGAGCATGGGTTCTAGGCACGTGGGCTTCAGTAGTTGTGGCACGTGGGCTTCCGTAGTTGTGGCTCGCAGGCTCAGTAGTTGTGGTGCACAGGGTTAGGTGCTCCACAGTATGTGGATCTTCCCGGACCAGGGCTCGAACCTGTGCCCCCTGCACTGGCAGGCAGATTCTTAACCACCACACCACCAGGGAAGTCCCACACAATGGAATATTATTCGGCCATGAAAAAGAAGGAAATCTTGCCATTTGTGACAATATGGACAGACATTTTGAGGGCATTATGCTAAGTGAAAGAAGTCAGACAGAGAAAGACAAATACCATATAATCTCACTTATATGTGGAGTCTAACAAACAAACAAACAAACATCAAACTCATAGATACAGAAAACAGACTGGTGGTTGTCAGAGGCAGGGAGTGGGCAAAAGGGGCAAAGGTAGTCAAAAGGTACAAACTTCCAGCTACAAGATAAATGAGTTCAGGGGATGTAATGTACAGCATGGTGACTATAGTTAATAATTCTGTATTGTATATTTGAGAGTTGCTAAGAGAGAAGATCTTAAAAGGTCTCATCATAAGAAAAAAACAACTGTAACCACGTGTGATGTTAACTAGACTTAGGGTGGCGATCATTTCGCAATATATACAGATGTTGAATCATTATGTTACAACCTGAAACTAATATAATTGTTATATGTCAACTATATCTCAATTTAAAGAATTGAGTCCAGTTATCATTATAACCTGCACTCACACCGAAAGAGGCTCACAGGACAGAGAGTGATGGAGCACCCAGCAGTCCGGCATCTGCCACGTCACCTTCTCTCTGGGAGATCTACTCAGTGAGTAGAAAGACAGCAGACTTACCTACCGTATCATTTCTCTATCTCTTTTTGTTGTCAAGCATATGTAGTTAAATTTGCATGAGTTTAACGTACATATGATGTGACTCCACTGTAATAATAATAACAACCACGTTTTAAATGCTCACTTGTGACATTTAAAACCATGTGAATTAGGTCTTATTATCTCTCCACTTTACAGATGGGGAAATAAAGGGTCAGAGAGATTATGTGATTGCCCAAGGTTATAGTCAAGGGCAGGCCATGTTTTCTGGCTCCAGCACTCTCCACTGGAGGTGCATGTGACACTTTCTGAATGATGATTCTGAGGAGAGAGATTTAAGAGGTGCCATTGGGGACAAGGTAGCAGTTGCAAAGCACGAGGACCGGGACACCACAGAGACTAGCCACATCCTCCCCACTCATCACTATGAACAGCCCTGGGACCCAGAACAAGAGATTCCCCTCATTGTGCTGGCATAGTCACTGCCCTCAGACCTTGGCTCTGTACTGAACTGCTGGAGTCCACAGCCAGCTTGCCCTTGGTGCATCCCAGGGCAGACAGTTATGCTTTACTTATCAGACGGGGCCTCCATTCACTCTGTCACAACCAAACCCAGTAAGAAGCAAAATTATGCCTCTGATAAGGGAGCTGGATATTGTCATGAAGCCCATATGCACTAACACCTGGGTGCTTTCGTTCTTTTACTCGTTCATTCAACCAAAGCACCTGCGAGGGCCAGAAAGTGTCCCTCCCTCTTGGAGTGTATAGTGGGTGGGGACAGAGCAACGAGAGCAGCATTTAAGGCTGACTGCAGAAGGGCTATAATAGGGGTCATTCAGGGCATCAGAGGAAGACACAGGCAGGTCTGAACCCAGACAGGGGTGGTTAGGGAAGATGTCTTCAAAGAAAAGACCTGAAGGAGGGCTGAGGGTGGGGAATGAATCTAGGCAGAGGAAATAATGTATATAAACGTTTGGAGTGGGGAAAAAGCATGAATGTGAGGGAAAATGAAAAAAAAGATATGTGTGTCTGGAGTGTAGACTTTAAGGGAGACCAAGGTACAAGGTGAGGTCGATTCCTGGGCTGGGTACCAGGTCCAAGGGCTTT